CACGCGCACCCGGGCGCGCCGCCGTAACCCCTTCCTCCCCGCGCGCCCCTCGCGTTCCCGCCCGCCGCTCACCGTCGATGTCCCCCAGGGTCAGCTCGTCGCCCAGCTCCGTCAGCGTCTCCATGGTCTCCATAAGGCCCAGCTCGGAGCTCCCGTCCATTGCCTGGCTCGGCGCAGAGGCCCTAGTGCGGTCCCGCTCAGGGAGAAGCGGGGGCGGTGCCGCCGCCACCGCCCATGACACCCGACAGCCCCGGTACCGCCTCACCGGCCCGTGCCAGTCGCCGCCATGTTTGCGCTGCGCCTCGGCGCCGCGCGGAAGGGGCGGGGCGGGATTCCCCCGCCCCAGCCCGCGCCGCCCGCACCCCGCCTCCCGGCCGCGCACGCCCCCCCTCCCGTTTGTTGTCAATGGGACCAGGTTCCTCCGGGCCAATCGGGGCGCGGAGCGGCGCGTGGGGTGATGGCGCGTCACCGATCAGCAGCTCTGATTTGCATAGTGAGACCCCGCCCCTCACGGCTCCGGAGCGAACCCGGAGAGAGGCCGCGGAGTCCTCAGCCCCACCCCCTTTCTCTGGTTTAAAGGAACCGCTTCCCTTTCCGTTGGACTTGCTCCAAGGACAACTACGTGCTCTTGTCAGGGGCCTAAGGGTTAACGCCCTGCGGCCCAGCCGCGGACTGCAAGCGCATTACATCATCTTCCTAACTGCCTCTCCCCACCCCCGCCCCGGCCTGGGAAAGCAGGGAGAATCAAAGTTATCCACCGCCCCCTACACACACACACACCAACTCGGATTCGCTCCTGCAACCCTCTGAAAAAGGCAGACACCGAGGCTTGACAGTACCCCGGTTGTGGTGACCAGGTGCTCATGCCATCGGCTCTGAGCCTTGGGCACCTCCGAGCCACCCTGGGCCTTTAAACAAGGCCATTGCCCTCTGGAGGTGGGGCCTAGGCACGAGTATTTTGGAGAAATACCACGGTAATCGGGCATGCACCCCACCTGCGGAGTCTCTCTGGGAATTACCTCACTGCCCTATCTTGCAGCTGTTATGTTGTGCACAAAGGTGCAACCTTCCAGGAATTTATCATGAAGAAGAGGTCCAGTACTCAAAGAATTGCCGAAAGATGTCTCTAACTGGAAAAACTTGAGAAGCCCAGTAAGGCACTGGGTACCACAAGAATAAATATCAAGGCACCATTAAAAATTATACATGTAAATGCATATTTATTGACAAGAAAAGGCTCTAATAACATACTGACAAAAGGGGAGTTCCCTGTGAGAAGCAACTGTTGCTCAGGAGTACACGGGCTGTGTGGAAAAAGACTTACTTGGAGACCTTGGTCTGTTGTCATCTCTAAAATGGGGATGAACCAGGTGCAGGTGGTTCACACCTGTCATCCTGGCTACTCAGGAGGCTAAGATCCAAGGATCACGGTTCAGAGCCAGCCAAGGCAGCAAAGTCAGTGAGACTCTTATCTCCAATTAACCACCAGAAAACCGAAAATGGTGCTGTGGTAGAGCGCTAGCCTTGAGCTGAAGAGCTAAGGGACAGCGCCCTGACCCAGAGTTCAAGCTCCATGACCAACAAAACAAAAAACATTAAAAAATAAATGGGGATGAAATGGCACCATTTACAATTGTGAAAATTAAATGAGATAATTTTCACATTTATTTGACAATATTTAACATCTCTGTGGCAAACAGTTCCTAATCTCTTTAAGAGCTTCCTATTTAGTTGGGGGCGGGGGAGGGACAGTAACTAAACATGAAAATAACAGATAGTACAAGTGACCAAGAAAGTAATGAGTGTGATGAGACTAACCAGGACACTGATCTGTTGTCACCAAAACTGAAGGCTGGGAGGTAGCTCAGTGGTTACAGTGCTTGCATAGCATGCTGAAGGCCTTGGATTCAATCCCCAGCATGGAGATGGGAGTCTGAAATATCACTTTTAAGTCTCAAATTGAGTATCCCCTCTTGGACAGGCAGAGGAACTGATGTCTCTCTTTTTTTTTTTTTTTGCCAGTTGTGGGGCTTGAACTCAGGGCCTGGGCACTGTCCCTGAGCTTTTGCTCCAGCCTAGCACTCTGCCACTTGAGCCACAGTGCCACTTTCGGCTTTTTCTGTGTTTATGGTACTGAGGTATTAAACCCAGGGCTTCATGCATGCTAGGCAAGCACTCTACCACTAAGCCACCTTCCCAGCCTAGTTCAAGTCTTATGGGGAAAATAAACCAAGAATGTTCTTGCTTACATACAGAGAGAAACAAAAATCAAACCCAAACTGGGCTGCCCTGCTCTGGACCTGGCACTGAGCTGGTTGCTGCTTTGGGTTGTGGTGTTTTTGACAGGGTCTCACTCTGTGATCCAGGCTGGCCTAGAGCTCTCTCCCTAGTCTCAGACTGCTAGTTTGGTAGGAGGCAGCAAGAGTACCCATACAACCCACTCTGATGGGACACCTCTCGTCCCAGGCTCTCAGTAACTTCTGCAGCAAGAGACCAGGGTAGTGCTTCCTACGGTGTCCCATGCAGGCCTGTGTCCGGCCAAGTGGCCTCAGGGGGTGCAAATGAAGGCACAGTAAACTCTGCAGATGAGTAGTGGTAAGCCTCAGCTAAGCTAAACATTGACAGTTTCCCTCTGGCCCTGGGTCCCACCTAACTGAACATTTTCCAGCTGACACCTGTAGTACTAGTCAGTGGAAAGAGGAATCAGCTGGCTCTGCAGGATGGGTGGAGCAGGCTTTGACCAGTGGCTCCTCAGGACCTGGGCTGTTGATCTGAAAAGGGAGGAGCTGACATAATAGTCAGAATATTTAACATTGGGCAGAGAGTCTGCATGTTTTCACTTTCTTCTAGGCTTTTGCTCCAGGTGCCTGCCCCCTTCTTCCTTTCCCAATCTTTCAGAATTTATTTCAAATACCACTTCCTCCAGGAAGCCAAACGGATGTTGACCTCAATGTAGGGTTAGAGGATAGGAAAGAACAGGTTTGGTTTGGGATGAACTGAAATGTAAGCAATGAGGATTGTGACAGGACAGATGTCATCAATTTTGAGGTCCTACAGGGTACGGTCTCCCAAGATTCCAGAGGAAAGGGAGAGCCAAAAAAGCCCCCTCCATCTAAAGAGGCAGGTGAGAAAAGAAGCAGCAGGACAAGAGTTGAGTTGCAAAAAAAAAAAGAGGCCTAGGACAAGAAGACCACAACAGCATCTCCCTGCATCTGGGAAGACTACTGGGAGAAGTTTTTAACATCATCTAAACCAGGGTTTAAAATGTGTGGAGTTTTAGTCATTATAACTGCTATTGCATCTTAGCAGGCCAAGGATACGATACTGCTCAATATCCTACATCACTTGTGACAGACTTCTCTACACATAAGTTATCAGAGTCTCAAATATCAATAGATCCAGGGCCAAGATACCCCACTTTAAAGAATATTAGGGGCTAGGCGGTAGTGGCTCATGCCTGTAATCCTAGCTACTCAGGAGACTGAGATATGAGGATTGAAGTTCGAAGCCAGCCCAGGCAAGCAAGTCGGAGAGACTATTATCTCCAATGAATCACAGAAAAAGCTGGAAGTGGCACTCTGGTTCAAGTGGCAGAATACTAGCATTGAGCACAAAAAGCCTCAGGGATAGTGCCCAGGCCCAGAGTTCAAGCCCAGGGACTGGCCACAAAAAAAAAAAAAAAAGTATTAGAGGATGACTGACTCTCCAGGAGTATCATAGATAGGACCTGGAAGCTCAGCAACAACGTCCAAAACTACAATGACAATACTGGTTACAGTTGCCATCATGGGTACCCCTAGGCAATGGTCATTGGACTGGCCAGTAGAACCTGCTGCTGTTCTTGGTATCTATGGCCAGCGCCACCACCAACACTACTCCCAAACAGCCTGGGTACAATCCATAGTGGAACTACAGCCACATAATTGAATCCAAGCTGCAGGAGGAGGCTGGACAAATGCCTTCACGAGGTACCTTCCCTTGGGCCATCACAGCTTGCACAGAACTAATAAGGTGCATTTCCAGAGCAAGTGGCCATGACAGTCAACACTGGAAACTCATAGGAGAGAAGGGACAAACAGAATGTCTCTGTTTCTTTGAAGATGGCAAATGGAAAACCTTGGCCATCTGGGGTGGAGAGAGGCCAAGAGTAGAGAGGCAATGGCCCAGGAGGAAGAAGGCACCCAATGGGGTAGATGTAAGGAGAAGTAATACTGGGCCCTTTTCTAGGGTCCTAAATACAGTTAGGTTCTCAACAAATCTGCAGGATGAACAAAGACCATTAGGCATTTGTCACAGTAGTCTCTTAAATTCTAGGTACCTTCTGCCCACAGAGCCTTTTCCTCCCAATGTCTGAGCGCTCTGAAACTGGAGGCCCAAGGATCTAAGTAAGATGTGCCTGGTTCACGGTGCAGAGCCTAGGCCAGTCCCAGGCTGCCCAGGTCTTCCTACCACTCTGGGCTACTTCTCTCATCACTCACTTCCCCAGCTCTGCCTCAAATGATGACAAAACACCTACAAGTCATTCAGCAGGACCCCCAACCAAAGCTGGACCACCTCTGCACTGTCCTGAGACATCTTTTAATCTCTTCATAAGGTCTGCCCTAGGAGATACAGGCCAGGTGCAGACACCTCCCTATCTCTTGGCTAACTTTCCACCCAGTATCTGATACCTAGGTAACTAGCACACCTGGACACAGTCACCTCCCCCTCCTGCTAGGTTACATGCTGGGCCACCTCTGGCCTTCCATCTGACCACAGGTGGGTCCCAGGCCCTGAGGTCACATCCAGATCCAGTGTGGCCACACCTCTTTCTATCCCAGGCCTAGATAAGTCCTGGCCTGGGGGTGGGTCTCCCCTTCTCGGCCAAGCCTCTCTACTATGCCCGGGTGGGGCAGCAGTTTGGTAAACAAACTTCTTTTCCTACCTGAATAGCGCTTAGTGTTCTCTTCATTGGCTACCTAATGAAGCCTACCTATGTAATATACCTTACACTCATCACTCCCAAGAAAGCTGGGTCCACTGTCAACTAGGCCTGGTTCTTGAAAAGCTCTTCTCCCAGTTGGAGGAAGCACTTTCCCAGCAATCAGCAACCACAACCACTCTCCAGCAAGAAGGGGACGGAGAAGAACCTAGGGTGACCACCCAGGAGTACCAAGACAGGTGTTAAATCGCTGGCTAGTGAATCTCACTGATTCAGTGGCTCACAAAAACTAGTCTCATACAGTCTTCATGGGAATTGACTGGGGCCAGCCACACAACCCAAAGGGGACAGAGCTGGGAAAGGAGTTCAGCTCTTTCAGCCCAGGGACAGTCTGGACTCCCAAACTGGGAGTCACAGGTAGCTACTCCCAGATCCGATGGCTGATAGGCAGTTCTGAGAGGAAAGCTTCTCCAACCCTCCTCCCAGCTGCTTCTAGTCTCCTGACTTCTCCCAAATGATTGATGGGCTGCATGATGTTCTAGGTTTTTCAGGAGGCCTTCCTAGGACCTAGCCCTCCTCTGGCAAGGAGGAAGGCTAGCTTCAAGGGAACAGGCTAGGGGATTTTGACATCATCATTTCACCAATGAAGCCACAGCACTGATAAGGAAGAGTGGCTCAATGTCAGTCAGCAAGGCTGAAGGGCAAAAAGATTCAGGTCTTATCTGGGAACTGAGAGGAGGTAAGTTGTGAGTGTGTAGGGGTGTGCATGTGTATGTGTATATGAGAAGTTGTCTGGACCTTTAAGAAGCAGACCTGTGTTCAGCAAGGTCAAAGAATTCCTCTGAAGTCCCTCCCTTCTTGCTTGGGAGGGTTGGGAATGAATGGCTTCTAACCTCACTGAGGTCCACAGACACCACGCTGCCCACTTGGCCTAACTCCTGTAACTTCATTGTCCCTTGGCCATGGCACCCCTGCTTGCGTATACCTCCTGCGAGGCACTCACTGGCATGTCTGGTTCAGGGCAGCCCTGCCATTGCAAAGCACAGCCTTCAGTAGCTTGTCCCATTCAGTAGGTTCCACTGCTGGAGAGGACAAGGTGATTGTTCCTTGTGCCTGCTGGATGATTGTCCCAGATAGCTCAAGTCAGAGATCATGTTGTGTCTTGAAATAAACACCCTCCCAGGACACTTCTGGGATCCCCTTAACACTGGCTCCTAAGCCCCATCCTTGCATCTCTAATGCTCACAGCTTGGGGCTCCTCCTAAAGAAGCAAGAACATCCTCCAGGCTGGTCTCAAGACTCCCAGGGGTCCCCTGGTCCCCTCACCAACCTTGGTAGGGCCAAAGCATGTGCTGGCTTTTATTGTGTCTCTGTAGAGGGCTGGCTGGGAACTCAGCTACAGGTGTTTGTACTTCACCTCAAGGCATGGTTCTTTGCTTCCGCACAAAGGGTGGTAGCCAGCCAGATACCAGCTGTCACCTACCAGGAGCCCAGGTCATGATTACCACCTCCCTCCTTTAGTAGTCTCCACAAGGTTGTGTCTGTAGCACAGTGTCTTCTAAAGGTCCCTTCAAAGCCCCTTCTCAGGAGGCCCTAGGAGGAAAACTAGACCCCCTGAGACTGAGTCTCTTGGGTCAGAGCTCAACTTAGCTCCTGATGACCCAGTAAAGGTGGTGGTGTCCCCATCTGGCAGTGGCAGGTTCTCACCCTCAAGGTCGATCGATGATACTACACCGAATTCAGCAGCCACATGGCCATCACCTCTTCCTCCAGAATGGCCTCCTGTTGGTTCCCTGAGCTCTGAGATGCCCCAGGACTACAACTCAGACTGGGATCTTGAGATCCTTGGACCTTTTCGGATCTCTTTCCGCTTCTCCTCTTTCTTCCGGCGTTTTTCTTCTTCCCTCAGGGCCTTCTGGAAAGAGTCAGTGCTGGGCACGAACTGAGGGGAAGAGAAGAGTGGCTCACTCAGTCTGTTAGCAGTAGAATTTCCTCTGAGCTAAGTGAAGGTGGGCTGCCTAAACCCAGTCCTGGGCTCAGGGAGCGCTAGATAAGGAAGTAGGGAAATTTGAGCTCAGGAAAAGTGCTGAATGGCTCTTAAAAGAGAAACCAGAGTTTGCCAGGCAAACAGGGAAAAGAAGAATCTTCCAGGCAAAGGTTCCGATATGAGAATTAAGAAACAAGAAATAGGGGCTGGGAAGGTGGCTCAGTGGAAGAGTGCTTGCCTCGCATGCATGAGGCCCTGGGTTCGATTCCTCAGCACCACATAAGCAGAAAAAAGCCGGAAGTGGCACTGTGGCTCAAGTGGTAGACCGCTAGCCTTGAGCTGAAGAGCTGAGGGACAGCGCAGAGTTCAGGCCCCACGACCGGCAAAAAAAAAAAAGAAACAAGAAATATTGTCTTCCAGGGAGGGAACAGAACAGTTCCAAGAGTCCCTGGTTGTCACCCCCTTCAAGAAGTGGGAACAGGTCCAGGTCAGAACAAAAGACAGGTAACAAGTACTGCTGCTTGTGAACAGGGAGCAATTTTAAGGTGAAGGGCACATAGCCAGCAGTGGTGGGTTGGCGGTCAAACTGGCAGATCCCGAGGAAGACATTGGAACACAGGATGAGCAGGGGTGCAGGGGCACAGGGGCACAAGGGTAGAAAAAAGGGACTTTGGTTAGGGATCTTTAAGGCACTGGCTCCTCTCATTCCCACATCCCCCCCAAAGGCTCATTGCACTCAGCCTTCTGCTGACCTCTAGAGCATTACCCCTCAAACCTGTGTCTGTGTCTAAATGCCTGACACCTCCCACATAGCCCCAAACTTGGCAAGGTTATATACCCCAGAGCCGCCTCATCTGTCAGTTCTTGGATTGCCTGTTCCTACGCACTTCCAGGTCTTTGCACATAGAGTGGCTCAGACCCAGAATGTTCTTTCCAGCTCCCACCTGCTTTGCTATTAGTTCCAGCTCTGCTGTCATGGCCCTTGGGACCTCCTCCAGAGACTGCCTCCTCAGTGGCATGCTCCCTTCCACTATGTGCTGATTCCTTCTTAAGAGTGTTTTTGTTTTGTTTTTCTGCTGCTGATACTAGGTTTGAACTCAGGGTGTTGTACCACCTGAGCCAGCTCCACCTAGCTTTTTGATGGTTAATTGGAGATAAGTGTCTCGCAGACTTTCTTGCCTGGACTGGCTTTGAACCCAGGTCTTTAGATCTCAGCTTCTTAAGTAACTAGCATCACAGGTGCACACAGCTTTTTCATTTTTTTGGCGGGGGGGAGGTTGGCCATGGGGCTTGAACTCTGGGCCTGGGCACTGTCCCTCAGCTCTTCAGTTCAAGGCTAGTGCTCTACCATTGAGCCAGAGTGCCACTTCTAGTTTTCTAGTGGTTAATTGGAGATAAGAGTCTCATGGACTTTCCTTCCCCAGGCTGGCTTTGAACGGTGATCCTCAGATCTCAGCCTCCTGAGTAGCTAGGAATACAGGTGTGAGCCACCAGTGCCATCTGATTTTTTTAGATGGGATCTTGCTCTATGTAGGTCAAGCTAGCTTCAAAGTCACAATACTCCTGCTTCAGCCTCTAAAGTATTGGGATTTATAGGTATGTACCACCATGCCTGGCTTGTATTTCATATTCTAAATTTCTCATTTATTTGTTAAAAAAAATATTAAGCTGGGTACTGGTAGCTCATGCCTGTAATCCTAGCTACTCAGGAGGCTGAGATCTGAGGATTGTGGTTCAAAGTCAGCCAAAGCAGGAAAGTCTGTGAGACTCTTTTTTTTTTTTTTTTGGGTCCAGTCGTGGGGCCTGCTTATGTGGTACAGAGGAATCGAACCCAGGGCCTTGAGCATGCAAGGCAAGAGCTCTACCACTGAGCCACCTTCCCAGCCCTGTGAGACTCTTATTTCCAATTAACTACCAAGAAAGCTAGAAGTGGAGCTGTGGATCAAAGTGGTAGGGCACTACCCTTGAGCAAAAGAGCTCAGGGCCAGCTCCCAGACCCTGAATTCAAACCCCATGACTGACAATAAAAATAAGCTGGGCAGGCTGGGAAGGTGGGTCAGTGGTAGAGCTCTTGCCTTGCATGCATGAAGCCCTGGGTTTGATTCCTCAGTACCACATAAGCAGAAAAAAAAGCCAGAAGTGGCGCTGTGGCTCAAGTAGTAGAGTGCTTGCCTTGAGCTGAAGAGCTGAAGGACAGTGCCCAGGCCCAGAGTTCAGGCCTCACGACCGGACCCCCAAAAAAATAAAAAATAAAAAAATAAATAAGCTGGGCATTGGTGGCTCAGACCTTTAGCTCTTAGCTACTTAGGAGGCTGAGATCCTGAGGACTGAGGTTCAAAGCCAGCCTGGGTAGGAAAGTCTTTGAGGCTCTTATCTCCAATTAATCACCTGAAAACTGGAAGTGGAGCTATGGCTCAAAGTGGTAGAGTGCTAGCTTTGAGCAAAGGAGCTCAGTAACAGTGCCCAGACAATGAGCTCAAGTCCCAGGACTGACAGAAAAAAATACCAAAACAAAAACGAAAACATACTGCAGGGGCTAGGAAGTGGGCTCAGTGGTAGAGCACTTGTCTTGCATGCCTGAGGCCCTGGGTTCGATTCCTCAGCACCACATAAGCAAAAAGAAAAAAGCCAGAAGTGGCGCTGTGGCTCAAGTGTAGAGCGCTAGCCTTGAGCTGAAGAGCTGAGGGACAGCACCCAGGCCCAGAGTTCAGGCCCCACGACCGCACCCAAAAAAAAAAAAAAAAGAAAGAAAGAAAGAAAACATAGTGCTTTGCAGGCTAAGAACTTGGATTTAGGAATTCTAATCTAGTGGACTGAAGTGAAAGCTGCCAGCTCGTGTATGTGTAGGTGTAGGTGACCCAGGACCACCTAGCTTTGTCAGAGGTCGGGCCCACAGCTTTGGTGGCTCTATTTCAAATTAGTCCATTGATTACATCACTTTAAATTCTGGTCTTCACTAAGGAAATCCAAAAACCAAGAGAAACTTTTTTAAGGGACTCAAGTCTAGTTGGCCTTTATTCCTAGATTCTGGTTGATGGACAGCAGGGAGCACCACCATGCCTTTGAATTGGCTTTTGAAGACCTTCATTCACTGCATTCAAACAACATTAAAAAAAAATTTAGTACAAATATCATTTATTGATATCCATTTTTAAATAAATTATAAGGATTTGACAATCTTGCTATTTTCTACATCTGCATTTATTCACATTTAGATAAACATGCGGAAAGCGAAGAACATGTGATAAGAAATCTCTGTGCAATAACTCTGAAAAGAATCACACTCTGCTCACAGTTCATGGAGACTGTTTTGCTTAGTGTTATGTTTTTGTGATATGTTAAAAAGCTTTTTGCTTTTTTGCATATATATTAGGAAGTGTGATACAGGTGTGAGTTCAGATGTCTGGAGTGTGGAAAGTACTTCATGAGCAGAGGTTTTCTATTATAAAATTACTGTTTCTTCCTGGTCACAGCAGGTCCTGCAAATGTTTGTACAGTGTTTTTTTTTTTTTTTCGGTCGTGGGGCTTGAACTCTGGGCCTGGGCGCTGTCCCTCAGCTCTTCAGCTCAAGGCAAGTGCTCTACCACTTGAGCTACAGCGCCACTTCCGGTTTTCTGGTGGTTTATTGGAGATAGGAGTCTCACGGTCTCTCCTGCCCGGGCTGGCTTTGAACCGCGATCCTCAGATCTCAGCCTCCTGAGTAGCTAGGATTACAGGCGTGAGCCACCAGCGCCCGGCTGTACAGTGTTTTTAAATGAGGTATTCTAGAACACAGCTACTGTATTGCGTGGGTGACTTCCTTGTCATGACTGTATCCTTTACTGTTTTGTTAAAGAATGTAGATGTGCAAATGAGAAGTGATCATTTGTTACATATTAAACTTGTATATATCAAAAGGGATGAATTTAGCTATGCCAAGACACTGCAGTTAATCATGGATCTCTTTCCATTTCTCTGTTCTCATTCTTGCTATTGTTGATATGTGGAATTCTGTGGCTAAGATCCTATTATTACTTAATTTGTCCCTGATAAGACTACTTCCACGGCAATAAATTCAGTAATGTCACGGTTCACTTTTTAAAAAAAATAGTGTGCTTTGTTGTGTCAAAACTTAACCTGATTTAAACAATACACTTTTATACCTTTGAGGAAAAACAAAACACTTCAAAGTAAGATTGGACTCAAAAACCAAGCCATATTGTATTTACTTAGACATTTAGCTATAGGTATAACTATATAGATAAACACACAAAATATTCCTTACTTCAATTAGTATGGTTCTTATTTAAAGTGATTTATATAGCTGGGCGCCAGAGTCTCAAGCCTTTTATCCTCCCTACTGAGGAGGCTGAGATCTAAGGATTGTGGTTCAAAGCCAGCCCAGGCAGAAAAGTCCCTGTAAGACTCTTATCTACAATTAACCACTCAAAAATCAGAAGTGGCACTGTGGCTCAAGTGGTAGAGCCCAGGCTCTGAGTTCAAATCCCACATCTGACCAACCCAAAAAGAAAAAAAAAGGGATTTATGTGAGTAAAAAGGTTTTTTTTTTGCTTTCTGTAACATCTGGTGCATCATATTTTTCATTATATTATTCCACATTATTTTTCCTCAAAGTTCCTAGCATAATATATCCATTACTTAGTATATATATCTAGGCAACAACACTTAGAAATTTATCCATGTCTAAGAACAATTCCTGTATCCTGGTTTACATTTGTATGAATAGCATATTCTGAAGACCACTCTTGCTTGTGTTGTGATTTACAGTATTTTTACAATTTCATAGGCATTCCATGCTGTCATTTACAATGCTGTGACATACTTTCATGTGGTAGGTTTTCTCAGGAACTCAATTTAAGTATTGTTTATTGATGTATCATTGCCTTTAAAAAGCTTCTACTGGCACAATATATTATTAAATTCTGAATACAAAAAAAAAATAGAAAAAGATATTG